TATGTGTATTTTATGTGGGGAGTTTGTTGGCATTTGTTTTAGGTAACTAAAGCTTTTCTACTTTTAATGTAGGAAAGTGAAAATATGCTTAGTTAAAAGTAAAAAAAAATCATTCTGTAGGGAAATGGTTAGTTAGAATGTTTGTATTAGATGAACATTTGATATTTGTTTGAAATAAAATTCATTAGAATCTAGTGCTGATTTCCTGAGACAGAGAGTTGTTCAGAGCCAGACAGTTGAGTATCTCTTATATCTGTTTTTCATTTCTATTTATTATATGGGCCATCCAACTGGGTTTCTTAAAAACAAACAAACAAACAAAAAAACTAGTTTTTCACTTGGTTCTAAGTTGTGGCCTAGTTGATACCACATCTTTATTAATAAAAGCTAGGAGTCCAAGTGGTAAGAAAGAGTTTAAGCTAAGATTCCTAAAGCTGAAACTTTAAGTCATTTCATTTTATAACTAGAGTTCTATAAATAATTAGATCACATAGTTCAAAGTTCCCAAGTATCCCATTCAACCCTATAAGCAGAAAATCTGTTAAATACATATTCTATTTACTAATTAATAACAGAATTACATCAGACTGTTTCCCGTATTGCACAGAGCAATATGTTTCAGAATACCACATGTTCACAGCTAATATTAATGGATTATTGAAGGTGGAGGGTAAAGGAAATAGAACAAAGATTTGTTTTGAGGATTTCCTCACTGCTGCCTTGATTCACCCAAAGAGATCCATAACTCCAGTAAGGCCACTGACCCAAGGGGGAGGTGGAACACTGATGTTATGGGTCATATATAGATGTTCCCCAAGAGCCTCATGTACACATTGGTGGGGCTATTGGGGATGTTGGGATTATGGGGGTTTACGGGTGACTCACTGTTAGGAGGTGGAGTCTTGTTGGAAAAGCGCAGTCATGGGGCAAAGGCCCATTAGGGTTTAGCTCTCTCTCCTGCTTGTCCCTTTACTCGCTCTGCTTTCTGTCCACCATGCCAAAAAGTGTTTCTGCTCTGCCTGTATCCTCCAGCCGTGCCATCCTGCCTTGGAGCCAGCCAACAGTGGGCTGAAACTTCTATAAGAGTCAAAATAAACCTTTCCTCCTTTGAGTCATGGGTATCAGGTCATTTTTCCTAGAAAAGAGAAAAGTGGCTAAGACAACTAACAATGGGGATGCTTGAACTGTGGAATTTTTGCCTTCTTCCAACCTGTACCTTTGTCCGTATTACCTGGATAAGTGACTGATGCTGGCTTGGGAACTTGACTCCTGGATAACTGAGGGAGATTCACCTCCAAATATTTGGAGGGCTCAGGACCAAAGCATCAATAAAGACTCATGTGCCATTTGGGGGGGAAATATTTAAAAGTCACATATCCAGTTTTTGAACCAAGTGTTAAAGAATATGTTCCAGCCTGCAACCTGGACACATGAGCTTTCTTAAAGGTTGGAAGTCCAGGTATCGATTCAGAGTCCTTGCACAGCTCTGCATTCTGCACTGGATCCTAGCTCTAGAGAGAACTTATTTGTCTCCCTCCCACCCTCACCCCTGTTTTTTCCAGCCTTGAAATGTAGGTCTCATTGTTAAAGTCCTCTTCTTGGTCACATGCAAATTCAACAGCAAACTTTTTAGTCCTGTTAACTAATTCATCCTCTGCTAACACATGTTCTCAGGAAGGTGCAGTCTTGATGGTGCCTATCATCCAGAGTATAAACTCATGAAGAAGCAAAAATCTGCCCCCAAACAGGGTGGAGGACACTTGGATGGGCTGAGGACTGGGACATGGGTGGGGTAGGTCCCTCGAAGCAAGAGTCCTCCTTTGCTGGGACATAATTCTCCCTTACACTATGTAAAGTGTAATCACTCCTACACCACTACAAGGAAGATTCTTTGTTTTCCTGTAGCTAACAACAGTTTCTATATAGTTGAAACTTTGTCCTAGTTTTTGAAATTTTGTTCTCATTAAAAATGTTGATAGAAGAAGTCACACTCTCGCTCCGTGACAAAGTCAGTGGATTAGCCCATATGTCAGTCTACATTATCCCACCTTAAGGGAAATATCCAAATAGAAATAGAACAAGACCTAGGACCTCAAATGTGGATACCACTCAATATCCCCCTTTTCACCCCTATCCTATTGTTAGGATACAATATTTTAGATGAAAACAGATTTGCAATAATGCTGGAAAGCAGCAGACAAAATCCACTGAGTTGAGATTTCTTCAAAGGAACAGGCCTTTTAAAAGAAGTTGAGAATCCAGATTAAAAAGAACATTTCATTTCCATCACGTACCTAAAAGTGAATTTTTATTAAAAGCAGATCACATCACTTCAGGAAATTCAGAAAACTATATCTAAATACACCGAATGCAAGATATTTCTCATCAATTTAGATTCTTATAGCCTCATAAAGATAAAATGCAGATGAATAGATCAGGTCTTCATTAAATTTTAGAATTGCTTTTGGAACCCTATGTATTGAATTGTGTAACGCCTGATTCCTGAACATTGTGAAAAAGCCATGAGTGGATAATGATAAAGTGCATTGTTGCCAGAAATAACACACAGTCTGCCTTTGGTTTGTGCTAATAAACTATAAGACAACTTAAACTTCAATTTTAATATTAGAAATCTACCTCATCATAAGTGATCTGAAAATTTATGCTATCAGAATTTTCATGTGCATTCTTTGGTGAGCCTGAAATACAATTTTATGTTTATCCTTCTAATATAAATCTCCAATTTATGGTTGGTCACTCTGGCACTAAGCCATAGCTCCAATTTAGTTCCATCTTTTCTTATTTCTTATTTCAAAAGAGACTGTTGGTTTGAATAACAAACATTCAATCGACTTAGACGTGGGGTGGCAGGCAGTACAGGCATTACCTGTTTACCCTTTATTGCCTTCTTTGAATTGGCTTTTCTGGGAACAAAACCAATAAGACATGCTGTTCCTTCATCTAGTTTTGACTCAGGTTATTTATCAGAAGGAATTTTCCCCCTGTTCCAGCAAAGAGTGGCAGCAGGGTGAAGAATTCAGACTGGAACAAGGCTTCTGACCTAACGCTATCATAGGTTATTGCTCTGCGAAGTCATGAAGGACTTCATTGTCCTTAAGACTCTGGCTTGGTCTGATTATTGTTTTTGATTCCATGAGATGCTGCTGCTAATACATTTGTAACATGGAGGACTACATTGTGCTGGGAATGGAATAAACACTGTTTCAGTCTCTTTGAAACTTTGCAATTACCCCCCCCCCCCCCGCGCCGCCCGTCCGCACG